GATTGGATTGGAACCGATGAGCCAGTCGAACGCCAGATCAAAGATAGATTACTTATAGAATGTATCCACCAACATTTCTCCCCATAGGAGACTTTTCGTATTCATTCTTACTACCATATAAGACAACAGTTTAGGGAACGGAGAACTTCATCCCAAAATAATCTAGCAATGCTAAGATCGGAAATTCACTTACCTCACTGCACTCAAGATAATCAGTTCATTGGTAGATAGACGCCCACCGATCGTTTTGGGGCCTCCCTCGCCCCGTTTTACCTTTAAGCTCATTCACGAGCGGCACCAGCAGCTGCACAGTGGTTATTACTATAGGCAGGATATCATTTCCGACAAAACAAGTGAGATTTTGATTGTGATTTCTGGTTTATTAATCGTCGTCAGCCAGCCATATCCAACCTGAGGTGCTCAACCATCCAACCCTTGAACACACAAGTTCTTGAGTAGCAATCCCACGCCCTAAACACTGAGTCATATGTTCGTTATTTTGTCGCTTTCAACCGGGAATAATTACATTGATAGATAGATGCCCACCGCTCGGTGACGGCGCTCATTCGCCCCGTTCTGTCTTGGGTTGGAAGTTCAGCTTTTCTTCACGGTGAACTTCCTTATTTTAATAAACCGGTTTACCTACTAAGCAGTTTTATTGAATATTTTAAGAGGTGACATAGTGCCTTCCGAAATCCAGGTAATCATAGAGCCCACCTAATACGGGTAACTTAAAACAATTTCTGTCTCTGTTTGAGTGAAACTTCGGACATGTTCCTGTTCTTAGAAAGAGAAAACTCTTTACCAATGAGGATAAATTTCAGTGAGGTTTAATTAGTGACGCAAGCGCATTCTGAAGCAATTTTCATACTGAGTATTTCCAAATGTGGTAAAATTACAAATGACTATGAGTTCTGAATATCATTTGGCGCCTAGTTATGAAGAAACATGTACGAAAATTTGCATTGATAGATATTATACGCGACAACATTAATGAACGCCCAGTTCCAGCTTACTGCATACTTTCTGAAATTTCTAAAAACATGACTATTTTTGAAAATGTCTCGAAATGCTAAAAGCGCGTTTTGAACGATTTTTTTAATCATTTCTTTTCCGCCACTTGGAACTTTCTGAATCGTCTTAGGACTGCTAGCTCTGGACAGGTTAATTTACTTTTAAAGTTTGGTGAGCAAATACATCGCTACAAATATAAAACCACATTTATTATTACCTGAATATTTTCTGTGTAGTGGGAATTTGTTCGTGAAATATCCTTCATAGACTTCCATAAAAGGTTGCCTGAAATTCATAATTAATGCGGCCATGTTTCGAACATATTATAATTGCTGAAGTTCTTATTTCCCGTTTTGCGTAGACTCAGCTAATAGCTGTCAAAATAATGGAAATTCTTTAAGACTGAATCCTTGAGCTGCTATTTGTGAGATTAATAAAGGACTTGAGTTTCATCATCAAGTTTATCGTTGGCTATTGATGGTTTACAAGCTTAAGGTAGCAATTCGACGTCACTTGCTTTTCTAAGTATGAATCTTCCAGAAAGTTCTTTTTCTTCGATAAGGCGTAGAGTGTGTATCCTTTCTGTATTATTGGGTGTATCTCCATTAAAAGATAATCATTCTGAGGAGACGTGTCATCGCTTTAACTTACTTTCCGTTTTTCTCAATTAAAAAGCAGTCTCCTTCTTTTAACTCCAAGAGAAAGTGCGCTTAGTGTTAAGTGTGCTTTGGAATCGACTGTTCACTGCTGCTCTAAATGCCGGATTAAAGCATTCCTTACGGCTAAGCCGGTTAATGAAGCCATACATCAGACTCCGGTATGAAAAATTCATTGTCTGCTCACGCGTGCTGCTACCTGTCTCGTCCGGAGGGAGCGGGATTGGCTTTAATCCGAGTTAAAGCGGGATAGGCAAGGCTGAAGTAACTTTATATCGACTGAACAAATGGTAACTACGAGCCAGGGAGCCTGCTTCACACTGTACTTAAAGTTATCGATAGGGTCTGTTTGCTGTCAAAAAGGTAACAAAGCGAGAAGTACTGTTCAATTTGGAATATGCCAACTTCAGGAGAGCACACCGATGTCTTCTGAGCCGAAGTTGACGACATCACAAAAGGATTAAAAAATAAACACTGATGGACAAATATTAAGTTACACTTGTATGGGATCGTTTTCAGTTGTACCCAAATAATTATGCTCTGTTTATTTGGCAATAGCAGGGACTGTGAGAGAGGAGACTGCATTACAGGGAACTAGTGAAGCCATAGCACGACCTTGAGCTTCTTCGTCTACTTCATGCATTTTTTAAAACACAGAAACGTCTTCCCCATGGATATTATATATTTCGGTCCATCAGTCATCGGTGGAAATTCGCCAAGAAGGCATACAATCTCTATCAGTTTATGTGCACTTAAGCATATAAACATTGATAAATGTGTACTTCAGCTGTTCATGAGGCGTGAAAACGAGTCCAAAACACCAAATTAAGGTTGAAATGCGTAGTACCGCTAAAAGAATGCTTATATTCCAAGTCTTTGTCTATGAAGCCAGCAAATTACATAGTTTTGGCAAGTAATAATTAATTAAGCTTGCGGTTTTTGCTTCCAGACTTTGGCTAAGTTTGTTCACCGGATTTCGTTTCGACCTGAAAGAAAGTAGCAAAATATTAAAGATTTTGACTTCTTTACGGTTCGTAATTATTAAACAACTTTACAAAAGTAGATATGCTGCTTGTCTGGATCCATTCACACCCCTAGCCAGCGATTCTCATGACTCCTAGTGGACCGCTTGTCGGTATTGATCCACTCGCACAACCACAGTGCCCTTGGTGACAACAAAGGCTTTCAATGCAAGCCTCAGGGACACCTCTTAGTGTGAATTCGGTGGAAACCTGAAAACATATTGGATCACATACCTAGGCGCACTGGAGTAAAGCGTTTAAAAAATAAAGAGAAAATGAAAATGTGGTCTCATTCACTGATGTATACGACAGCCATTTTTGGTTACTGAACTTTATGACTTCATTACCCAGAAATATGTCTGCAAACTCATAATTCTATTAGTACGATTACTATGCTCACCCTATCTTATGCCGTCATACCATGTACTTTGTCTTTGTTCAAAAAATCATACTCCTCTCAGAAAAGAGGCTTATCGAAGGTGAATTCTAAAGGATTCGGTTTTTGTGAATGAAAATGCCCCTGCCCATCACTTGCGACTATGCTGCTATCTACTTCGCCAATAGCCACTTAGAAACTTGAGCAGGTGCCTATGTTAAAAGAAAAGTTGGATGGAACTTCATGCCCAGAAATTGAAAGAATAGGCCCTTTTCGGTCGCTCCTTATAACACAAAAACCGAGTTTTGTATTACAATAGAGTTATTTTTAGTCTTTCTGTCGTTTTTTTCTCCTGATATTGTGGTTGTTGTCTCAAACATATCAGCACGCTCTTTATTGCAGTCTTCGAAAAATCCCACTTTGGTTGCCCTCCCGAGAACGTGATCCAAATTGACCAGCAAACGCCCTTCAATCGTATTTCCCGAGACTATCTTTCCTACTGATTTCTTCGATAACCTCAGCTGACGCTTAATGGTGATCTCATACAAATTCCGGGATATCTACATCAACAATTTTAAGGGGATATAACGTACAGTGATATTCTTTCTTCTCCCAAGAGGTCAAACGAAAGAATGTTAACTGTGATATTGGAGCTAGCATCTCTAACCTCTCTGTTAGAACTGAACTGGATTACAGGAACTGAAAAGGTAGAATATTCTAGGTCTTTTGATCAAATTGATTTTACCCATATTATATGGGACCTTGACTTTTAAAGAAAGTTGTTTTGCTAGTTATTTTGTTTATGTTCTACTGTCCCTCTGCTTTACTTGTGCATACATCGTCTTCACTTGACACGACAGCCACCAATATGTTTTGATTTCTTTTTCCTCCAAACGCATTTAATTATCATAAATCTCTTCTGCACATCTAATCAGCCAAGAATGTTACTATTGTAAAGAAATAGGCTTTCCTTGTAAGGTGATTTTGCTTGTTTTCTGAATTCACACGTCTTACATAAATTTTTCTTTTTCCTTTATGTTAATTATGGGTTTTTAGCCAGCAATACCTTGCCTCTGATTTAAACGTTGTTTTTTTCTGAGGTGTATCACCATACAGCAAACGACTGTCCACTCATACACTTCCTGCTATTACTCGAAGCCTATACTGCAGAATATGAGTATAGAGGAAAGAAATACCATCGTCAACGGATAAGTTGAGAACAAATGCGACATCTGCGTAGCTTGCTCTCAATACTTTCTTTTATAAAGTACTTTTCTTCTAAGTAGGGCAAGCTAGATTAATATACTCCCCTTATCTGTCGTCCTCATCTCTTTAGGAAAGTTTTTATATCCTGAATCTGGCCGCGAGTCACCCATATTTTTACAGGATCACAAACTATTTCAAATTCTGGAAGTGCGAAGGCTACATAAACTCAGATTTCATGAAGTTTTCGCTGAATACGGGACATAAAATTTTTATACTAACTGTAAACTGGCTCAGAAATTAGTAGGGATGTCAATTATTACTATTACAGTCTAAAGGAACACGTATTTTGACCCTGTAGCCAATCAGCTGTGAGATCGCGGCTCTGGCTCACGCCTGCGTGCGCATCACAGGTGGACGCCGGACCCGGTTAGCGGATGATGCTGCTTTTGCGCGTCCGTCGGTGCGAGAGGGTGAAATTTGGTATCCGCACTGACACAGGTTGAAGCCGCCAGGTCTGGTCATTCACAGGCACACACGCACGCACGCCCATAAGTGCACGTTTGCTACAGAAACGAAGGAGCAGCTTCGCAGTTTCTCTTCTGACGGGTAGACAAGCGCATCCGCTTTTTGCGCGGTCTGCAAAAGCACCCATAGCAAGCGGCCGGTGGCTGCTGTTTAAAAGGCCCTCCTGTTTGAAAAATACCCGAAAAGGAACTGCTCTCCACGATGCTTCCAAAGATTGCAACTATAATCTCAGTTTTTCTGGTTAGTTTGGCGCTGATTGACGAGACTGTGTCGGTGTCACGCGTCGCCAGCAGCTCATCTCGCCTTTGGGACCCTAAGTATACACAAAATGGATTAGGCCACGGGCCCTTAGACAATGTGACAGAAACAGGCTCCACGAACCCCACTGGGCCCTCGTACTTCTCCGATCTGGTTCATCTCATGAGTGGCTATGGGTCGCATGAGTGTCACGAGATTCCTAAGAAGATGAAACTCTGCACTGGTCTCGGCTACAACATGATGGTGCTGCCCAACAGCCTAGAGCATACGAGGGTTGAAGAGGTGATTGCTCAGTCGGAGATTTGGCTGACGCTTGTCAACATTGGCTGCCATGAGGAGCTGCGCCTCTTTCTATGCTCACTTTATGCTCCGATTTGTATTGCGGATCATAAAGACAAGCTGATACAGCCGTGTCGGGATCTGTGCGAAAGCGTGAGAGGTGCCTGCTTGCCGATTATGTCCAAATTCGGACTCCGTTGGCCTGACATGGTGACGTGTTCCAAATTTCCCACAGGCCAAAATGAGGTCTGCATTCCTTCGAAGAAGCAGACAAGTAAGCACCGGTTTTACATGGAGTCAATTCTATTCTATAAAAGCTGTTTAAAAAGTATCGTAAGATGAATTATTTCAATGTGTTTACGTATAGAATCAACGTGCGGTTCTATTGTGCTATGAACAGGACATGCAAATAAGAACCCTCCTTATCTCAGGGAATTTAAAGCTCGTGTAATGGTTAATATTAACTTCAGCGTTAGGGTTGGGATAAAGGTGCATGCAAACTTAAGATTATGTAGAGGTTAAGATGTAGAGTTGGGCTCTAGGTTCGGAATAAGGCTTGGGTTACTTGTAGTGATGGCGTCGGGGTTTGGACAGGAATAGTTGGCATTTCTGAAATTGTGTCAAGACCACTCACTGTACCGGCGGAGTTGGTGGTTCTTGTGTCCTAATGTGCCATGAAATGCTGCGCTGCGTTTACTAGCGTTTATTTTATGCGTTTGACCACAGATTAACAAGGATAGGTATACAGACGTGTAACTATACTGTAGTAAGAATACGAGCGTGGTCATGGGTATACATAACTGCTGGTAAAGCAGATAAAGCGAAAAAATATTGGGCCTTGTTCTTTGTCCCTCCACTTACTAATATTTTAAATCATCCTTATATCTTCTAGATGTCAAAGTGTTTTCAGTTGCTCAAGCTTACTTGTAAATAAAGAAACGAGCGGTTCCTTAGCACTGTCATAAAAGTCAAAAAATTCAACGCTTCACAGTAGAATGACTTACTTAGCTTTCGTGGTTAGTGATTACATCCTAGGAGATCAAACTGTACTAAAATGAACTAGACGATTGATAAGGTTCTTCCTAGCATGAAAATATTAAGGAATGTTTATGCATATATGTTGGTTCTGAGTAATTTATGGAGATCATAGTCTTAAACTACGAAATAGCTCAAGGCGACTGTAGTCCCGTAATTTAACATTGACAATAAAAAATAATCCAAAACAAATCACATCAAAAAGTTCTGTTGGGCAGCTCAATCTCAGAAAGGAATAATTCTGTATTCCATGACAATTGTTGATGGACTTACTGTATTTCTCAACAGTTTTCGATTTTTAGGTCTAGATGATCCATTTATTCTCTTAGCAACCGGTTTCACGTTTTCTCTGAATATGCTGCACATGAATTGTTGTACTTCAAGCTACGCTGCACACTGTGAAGTTGTCACATGCTTATGCTACTACCAGCCTTTGGCAACCTACTCATTTCCCGAAATTTCACTGAAAAGGAACTTACTTTTTTTCCGAAACGCAACCCGAATTGGGTTTAAAAATACACTTTTTAATCTGACCGATACCCGGAAATACTGAATAGAAGGTTTTCTAGGACCAAGTAGCCAGAAGTTTATAGCTGACATGAAATGCTTTCTTGACGCCTATCCGGTAGCCTGTATCAACCTAGGAGCTAGGCAACATGGGACTCTCACATCTGTTTGGATAAATGTTAGGTCGTTCGACCAATATATACTACCCCAGATAACGTCACAGAGACGCATTGGAAAAGTCTGATAGGGCAGCCTGTCCTCACCTTTGTGGCAAAGAGATGTTGCTTGAGAAAATAAGTCCTATCTTGGCGGCTGGAGATGCGCACGCAATATGAAAGTTTCGGCAACAAATAACTCTTAACAGAAATTAGAGTCTTATCCTGAGAATTCCGTTTTCTTATTAAAATAATTTTAGTAAATTACCAGGATACTTGCTGCCAGAGCACCTCATCAAAATATTTAGGCATTTATTTTTTCGATCCCCTCGCTCTGCTGTTATTCTTCCTTCATCAACGGGATATCTGGAAGCTGAGACTAACAGTTAAATCTAGCTTGACAGGCAATTACTATCTAAAGCTAGTAGAAGCATTTTATTTGCTTCGACTACTATTAGATAGCATGCGATTTCTTAAGCAACTAACAGTAAAGGCCTCAATTTAGGTGTCATTCTGTGATATTGAAATTATTGAATTAGTTGCCAAGGAAGTTCAAGCAGCCTTATCTATTGCAACTCCTCCACGGGAAAAAGACGCAAAGAAAGTCTCTAACTCAACCTGATAGCGTTATGTGGCCTTTCATTATAATTCCACCGTTATACTTTTGCCCGTGCCATGAGCGCTTCTTTTGATGTGCTAAATAGAATCCATGACAATGAGCAGAGAGAAAGTTTTTGATTATTTTGTTTAGCTGTCTTTTAGCAGTAAAGCATTAAATCTAAAATGGCGCCAACTTGGTCAAGTGAAACAAAGAAAGAGGTATCCGGAATAAATGCCAAAAATGAGGCATTATACATTGCTGCAGAACCCCCTACCATCGTCAGTGATATCTGGGGCTCCGTTTCACTCACGGCCCTGAAGTAACAGTCCGGCACACAAAATAAAATAGCAGTTTCCCGTGTCAGAATATCAAGTATCACATACTATTAATAGGGTTCAGCGTGTTTGTTTTAAGCTAAATTGTAATGGTGGACGATAACGGGCATCACGGCCGCTAAAGTAATTAAAAGGATAACAAAACAGGACACGCGTTTGTAGAAGAAAATTGCGAATGAATAGTGCAATATGGCGACTGTAAAGTCAGGCGTGTAAACACATTATCTACAAATCATTACATAACACGCCCTGGTGTAGAATAGACTCTTCCACTACGTCGCAAAGAATAGACTTAGGAGTGTAAGACAGCCCGTATGCGACCGTGATCACAATAGCAATGATAACAATGGGGCGGTAGTATTTTCGACTATA